CCCTCGGGTGCAGACCGCGAGTGTCGGTGGGTCTGGGGGTCCTGGCGGTGGTCTGTCAGTTCCGCTCACCTGCGCTCCCCCCCCTCTTTACTCAATGCAGAGACGGGAAGCAGAAGGAAGAAGAGGTTCGTGTCCAGCCCCCGCTACGTGGAGACCATGCTGGTGGCCGACCAGTCCATGGCCGAGTTCCACGGCAGCGGGCTGAAGCACTACCTCCTGACGCTGCTCTCGGTGGCAGCCAAGCTGTACAAGCACCCCAGCATCCGCAACTCCGTCAGCCTGGTGGTGGTGAAGATCATGGTCATCTATGAGGAGCGGAAGGGGCCCGATATCTCTTCCAACGCGGCCCTGACTTTAAGAAACTTCTGCAGCTGGCAGAAGCAGCACAACCCGCCCAGCGACCGGCACGCAGAGCACTACGACACGGCGATCCTCTTCACGAGGCAGGTGAGGGACACGGAGGTCAAATCCATCCCCGCGCCCGTTGCTCTCTGCCCCCAGAGGCCCCCTCTGCCAGGAGACCTCCAGAAAAAAGCGTTCGCGGGCAGTCGTGTGTCACCGCAGCTGCGGCAGAGTAGGCTGAGGATGAGGTGAACTGTGTTCTGTTGGGTCGTTTGTTGTGCTGTTTTCGGGCCGTCCCAGGTGAAACTCACAGTACGTGCAGCGCATTTCTGCCTTGTGTGCTTCTAGCAGATTTAGTGTGGAAATTATGCATTTTATTTCTACGTGTAACTCTTGTGTATGTTCCAAGGACAGATTTTTGCCATCATACCCATTGAAGTGCTGAATATTTATGCTCTTTCCATAAGTAAAGGCAAACCGCCAGGGCTGGATGTTTCTTGCCAAGGTTAAGTCTCTGATCTGATTAATAATGAAACTGCCTTTTTTTACAGGACCTCTGCGGTGCCAAGACATGTGATACCCTTGGGATGGCTGATGTGGGAACGGTTTGTGATCTGAACCGCAGTTGCTCTATCATAGAGGACGATGGTTTGCAGGCTGCCTTCACAACGGCCCACGAGCTAGGTACTTGAAGCTTCGAGAGGCGATTTCACGTGATGAACTGGAGCCAGCTCGGTGCTGTAATGCGAAGGGCTGCCCAGCCCGCACCCTGGGCTCGCCCTGCAGGGCGCAGAGCACCCAGCCCTCCCCAGCGCAGGCGGGAGGAGGCAAAGCTCTGCCGCGTAGCAGGGTTGAACCGCGGAAAGCAAATCCGGTCTGCACGGCGTTGTCTGCACGAGCTGTGCGTGTGACTGATGGCAGGAAAAAAGCGTGCGAGAAGCCTGTGAGGGAGCGAAGATACAGTGCCATCTGCTTAAAATTTGGCAGTATGCAGGATATTATTCAAAGACCGGGCCATGAGCAGCTCTAGTGGAGTATTTAAAATAGTGTTAGTAATGCGTAGGACAGACTTCCTAAAATCACAGACTTTGCTTTTTTATTTTTTTTCCTAAGGTCACGTGTTTAACATGCCTCATGACGATGCAAAGCAGTGTGCTGGTATTAATGGAATAAGCCGGGATTTCCACATGATGGCATCCATGCTTTCCAATCTGGATCGAAGCCAGCCCTGGTCTCCATGTAGTGCCTACATGATTACAACATTTTTGGATAACGGTCATGGTAAGATTATTAAGCTTTCCATTCGTGTGGCACTTACGCTCTTGTGCTTTACTGCTTGCTTGCTTTCTTTCTCTCTTTCTTTCTTTCTCTCTTTCTTTCTCTCTCTTTCTCCCTTTCTCCCTTCCTTTCTCTTAACAGAGTGCTTTCTGCTACAGCACAGGATTAACCCTTTACTTGCTGCCAACGATTTTAGAGGACCCTTAGTTTTACAAGAATGGTGGCACAAATTGACTCAAAGACTTACATTTTGAAGGAAACGCAGTTCCCTTTTGAAACTGAACTCACTGACAGCATTGTGTGGTTGTTTTTTTTTCTTTTTTCTTCCTTTCCAGGTGAGTGTTTGTTGGACAAGCCGCACAAACCCATCCAGCTTCCTTCTGACTTGCCTGGCACGTTGTACGACGCCAACAGACAGTGCCAGTTTACGTTTGGAGATGAGTCCAAGCACTGCCCCGATGCAGCCAGTACGTGTACGACGCTGTGGTGTACTGGCACTTCTGGAGGACTGCTCGTGTGCCAAACCAAACACTTCCCTTGGGCAGACGGCACCAGCTGCGGGGAAGGGAAGTGGTGCATGAACGGCAAGTGTGTGAATAAAACTGAGAAGAAGCATTATGATGTAAGTATTAAAAAAGAAATCGGAATATATCTTGGGTTGCAGAGTAGCACGGGCGGTGCTTCAGTGGGAGTAGTCAGGAAAAGGGCTTGAATAAATGAAGGCAGCTAGCTACTAAGGCAAACTTCTTGGAGCTTCTTTTTTACAAATGGCTTAGGTGAAAATGAGCATGATCGTTGTTTTTGTGGTTTGGTTTTGCTTTTACTGTATTAACTTTTTTGTTCTGCTTTTGCTTGTCATTCCAGACGCCGGTGCATGGGAGCTGGGGGTCCTGGGGGGCGTGGGGAGAGTGCTCCCGGACCTGCGGCGGCGGAGTGCAGTACTCCTTCAGGGAGTGTGACAACCCCGTCCCGAGGAACGGGGGGAAATACTGTGAAGGGAAGCGAGTGCAATACAGATCATGCAACATCGAGGACTGTCCGGACAATGATGGTAATCTTTTCCTCATTTTTGAGGCAGAGGAAGGGTATATTGTGGAGGAGGAGCGTGCACAGAAGATGAGCTAATGTCCACCTGTCTTTCCTCTGCCTGCAGGCAAAACCTTTAGGGAGGAACAATGCGAAAAGCACAATGAGTTTTCCAAGTCTCCCTTTGGAAGTGGACCTGCAGTGGAGTGGACACCAAAGTTTGCCGGTGTCTCTCCAAAGGACAGATGCAAGCTGGTCTGCCGAGCGAAAGGAACAGGATACTTCTTTGTTTTACAGCCAAAGGTATTTCAGAACTATACCTCTTCCATCTGATGGGGAATAGGATTTTTATTTCCTCTAACTCTTTATGTGAAGTTAAGAGTCAAGCAGTGTAGAAATCTGAAATTATGTCTTTCTCATATTTAAGCTAGATTCTTCCTTCTCCTCCTCCTACGTGTACAGCTTGATCAGTGCAAGCATGCTTTAAAGATTCCAGCACAGTCCTTCCAGTTATTTCACACGTACCGCCTCTTCTGCCTACTCCACCCTAGTTTCCTTTCCTCTCCTTCCACCAATTTGATTACACTGAGATATGTTTGGAAACCTGTGGGGGTTCTTTGCCAAAACATTGGTGCTTTCTCATACTAATTACTAATACGCTGACAGCTTAAAATAAACAGAAGGAAAAATGTTAATCTTGCATAGCTACTTGAACTCCCTGTCGTAAGATGCTGAGAGCCAAGAACCACCAGGGCGATGACACACATAGTTTTTGTAGAGCAGTGCTCCTAGAAATAAAGGATACGTTGAACACCATTAAAAGCAATTTTGGTCCTATACTGCGAGGACATGACTAACTTCTAGTGACATTAGAAAACAATGTCCTTTGTATGAAATCAGTGAAACAGTTCTGTGAGGGTTTTTTTTTTTGGTGGGGGGGGGGAATGTTAATAAAAACTGAAATTGGTTGTTTTCTCCTGTCACCATGGCATCACTTTTGCAAGTGACATGAAGTAGCACCACATACCTCCAACTGTCTATGGGCTGCTCTGGTTTTTAGTTTCAAAAGCCCTAGAAATACGGGTGCTGTAGGTCATCCAACTGTCCATATTTTGCATTTTGATGTCTCTGTCTTATGCAATTTCGAAGCAATGTGCATCTCCTAATCGAGCACCCTACTGCTTTTTTCCTGCAAAGGTTGTGGATGGTACCCCATGTAGCCCCGATTCCACCTCCGTCTGCGTCCAGGGACAGTGCGTAAAGGCTGGCTGCGACCGTATGATAGGATCCAATAAGAAGTTTGACAAATGCGGGATCTGCGGTGGCAATGGATCCACTTGCAAGAAAGTGTCTGGCACGCTTGTTAGAGCAAAGTGAGTAGATGACTGCTGCTGTTCTTTTGTTCCGGTGCATGTTTCGTGGGTGTAAGCTTTGGGTGAGATGTTGCCCCAGTTTATCGTTGGAACGGAGATCTGATCTGTCAGAGCCATCTAACCGAAGACAGCTTGCGGTGAGATCCCCAGCGAAAGAAAGCACCTCCCAAGTGGGCACGCCTCTGCCGTAGCAAATCCCTTAATGCATTAATTAATTAATTAATTAAAAATTATTAATTTGCATTAATAGCGACTTTGCAAATCCCTTAATGCATTAATTTGATTAGGTCGGCAGTTCATCATGAGCTTAATGCTTCAGCTTCAAATGAATTTCAGTCTCGCGCTGGGCAGC